CCGCCTCAGCCTCCTCCCCGACGCGCTCCTGCGCAACGTCCTCACCCGCCTCTCCGTCACGGACGCCGCGCGCACCACCGCGCTCTCCCGCCGCTGGCGCGGCCTCTGGCGCTCCGCCCCGCTCGTCCTCGTCGACGCCCACCTCCTCCCGTCCTCGCCCTCGCCCGAGGTGCAGGTGCAGGTGCCGCGGGACGCCGCGCGCTGCGTCACCTCCGCCGTCTCCCGCATCCTCGCCGCGCATCCGGGCCCCTTCCGCTGCGTCCACCTCACCACCAGCCACATGGAGGAGTTCCGGGGCCTGCTCGCGCGCTGGCTGCAGCTCCTCGCCGTCAAGGGCATCCAGGAGCTCGTCCTCGCCAACCGCCCGTGGCCGTTTGACCTCGACCTCCCCGCCGCCTTCTTCGGCATGGCCACGCTCACCCGCCTCTACCTCGCCTTCTGGAAGTTCCCGGACACTGCCGGCCTCCCCCGCGCCTCCTCCTTCCCCAACCTCCGCGAGCTCGGCCTCTGTACAGTCGCCATGGAGAGCCGGCACATGAACTTCATCATCTCCAGGAGCCCCGTGCTGGAGATCCTGTGCATCCAAGCCAACTTGCTCATGGACCGTCTCACCCTCGTCAGCCGCAGCATCCGGTGCGTGCAGTTAATCGGGGCCTCCGATCTGGAAATCGTCGTGGACGAAGCCCCCAAGCTCGAGCGCCTCATCATCTGGGAGTCATTCACCCGCAAAGGCCCAGGCTCGCACAAGAGGATCAAGATCGGTCATGCACCAGCGCTAAGCATACTTGGCTACTTGGAGCCGGAATTGCACACGCTCCAGATCGGCAACACCACCATCAAGGTTCATCCCGCGCTCTCAGAATTACTTTTTGCTTGTTTAACTCACAAATCATCGATACCAATGTGTCAACTTGTCTCAAGACAATTGTGTGCATTGCAGACTGGGACAAAAGCGAGCCCAAGCACCATGGTACCAACCGTGAAGATCCTCGGCTTAAAAGTGCGTTTTGGTGTCCGCAATGAAGCCAAAATTCTGCCTTGCTTTTTCAGGTGCTTTCCAAATGTTGAGAGGCTGCACATCGAGGTGAAACCCCCACTCAATTTGTCAACAATTTTGCATCTTCCCGCACTCATACATGTATATAGCCGCTGCCAAGTGATGAGATGATCGAGCTCTAACTGAAGTTTGGGCCGATTTAATTATCTACAGTCCAAGAAAACTGCCGAGACCACCGGCAAGCTCAACCTCAAGTTCTGGGAGGAGTCCGGTGCCATCGAATGCATCCGTTCACACGTTGACTTGATGATCTTTCAGAACTTCCTAGGAGATCGGTGCGAGCTTTCCTTCCTCAAGTTTTTCCTTGAGAACGCTCGGATGCTGACGAAGCTGGCGATTGTGTGTGTCAATGGAAGCTTCAGCTCGCTGGCTGAGGTAAATGCCAAAGTGAAGCCTCTGTTCGACACAAAATGGGCCAGTAACTGCTGTCAACTGCTGCTCTTCGAGAGTGCATTTGCTGAAGGTCAAGGCCTTCAGATGCAGAACTTCGAAAGAGGATCTGACTTCTCTGTGAGGGACCCTTTCGCCGTCATCGTCAGAGCTTAGTTTTGCTGGAAAAATTAGGGCACTTTTTGGATCGTTGGCTCATGTTCTATGGAGACTCAGCAGGATTCTTGGTTCTATTAGCATGTTTACCCTCAAATGTTTAAGTTAGTAGTTCCGGCGTTTATGCAAAAGACAAGTGTTTTATGTAGCTTATATATCTTAGCTTTGGCCTACTGCTGAATGTGCTACATCACACAGTTTCTGCTAGATGTGTGTCACAATTTCTGCTGAATGTGCTACATTTGAGCCAATTTATGATTTGCCAATTGTGTCAAATTTTTACTTGAGCATGCTCCTACTTCTAGGGAATGTGCGTTTCTCTCTAAAGCAGATTTTATACCTTCAGCATTGTGCCTTTGTGTGTTCTGATTGAATTCCCTAGATCTGCCAAGTCAATTATAATCAGAGCTCCAGCTCTTTATGAATTTCCTGGTTTCTTCTAATTGAAATGTGAATCCTGATGTGCAGTCGTGAAAGCTAATCTGATCACTTGACCGGTTTATCATATGTAACATGATCAGTAGTGGCTTAAAGCCCCAGCCTAGGCTAGCAAGTGCTCTATTTGAACATGCATAGACTAGCAAGTGCTCTATTTGAAGTCTGGGAGTTGCATGTTCATCTGGATATGTCATGACAAGGAAAATGTCGATAGTGCACATCTTATGTTACGCCATTACCTTGATTCATATCGCTTTATCGAAGGGCCTGAGGCCGATCTTTATTAGAAGGAGAGAAAAGTTCAGTACAACAGGAACAGTCTAGGAAGATTAGACTGAACCCAAGACCCCATACAGGACCCAGCCACAGCAACGCTGGGATCTCCAAACCCTCCAGAGCATCAGGATGAGTACCATAACGAAATTTATACGGAGTACCACAGGAGCTGACTGGGGACTTCAGGGAGGAGCTGCTGAGTGAAGGAACTCCAACGCTGGAAACAAATACAGGCAAAGCCCGACGGCTGTAGCTAAGCCGGGAGATCAGCAATGCATCCCGCGGCTCTCCACATGGCTACGTTTTCCTTGATCCGGTCCAGAACCCAGTCAGGTGGGTTGGAAGCATGATCAAATATCCTGGCGTTTCGCTCTTTCCACACCCTCCAGTGCAGCATGATGATTACCGTGTCAAAATTCCTCCTGACTGCCTTCGGAATAGCCGCCCTAGCCCGAAGCCACCAGTCTTCCGTGGAAGTGAAAGAAACACTGGGGGTAATGAAATCTGCATTCGTCCATGTTTTAAAGAGCAACCAAACCTGTTGGGTATATGGGCAGTGGACAAAAAGGTGAGTGCAGTCCTCTGGCGCAGACAGGCAGAGCGAACACACTCGATTGGACGGCCAGCTTCGCCGCTCCAGGTTGTCCGCCGTGAGACATCTTTTATGCACCACCAGCCACATGAAGAATTTACAACGCGGTGGAGCCTTGGATTTCCAAATCGGCTTTGAGCATGCAAAGCGAATTTTGCCTAGAAAGAACAGGCTGTATGCACTCTGGACAGAGAATTGCTTGTCTGACGTCAACATCCAGTGTGGAGTGTCCCTGGCAACCATATTGAGGGAAGTGTTCTCCATCAACTCCCATACCATGAGGAACTGCACAATGGCAGGTAGCGAGAGCCCGCCGGCTACGTCTTTGGTCCAGGCCTGATTGTGGATTGCCTCTTTGACAGTTAGCTCGCGGTTCTTGACGAAGGAGAAGAGTTGGGGCACCATCTGGGCCACTGACTTGCCATCCTCCAGCCACCGGTCAGTCCAAAATTTGGCAATCTCACCGGATCCCAGACTGACTTGGCAGGCCGCGTTGAAAAGGGCCTGGACCTCCCTCTCCATCACGTTGGGTAGAGCATGCCATGGCCTCTCATCCGCGTCCCAGCCCAGCCAAGGCCATTTACATCGAAGTGCTAGACCAAACCATTTAAGATTTAAAACTCCAAGTCCACCAAGCTCCCGGGGCATGCACACCCTCGACCATGGGAGCAGACAGTGGCCCCCATTGATCTCTTCCTCGCCCTTCCAAATGAAGCTACGACAATGACGGTTGATGATTTTGATCGCCCAGGCTGGCAAAGGCAGTGCCGCCAAAAGGTGGACCGGCAGTGCCATGAGGACTGAGCGAGCGAGAGTGAGGCGCCCAACTGTAGCCATCATCTTCGGCTTCCATCCTTTCATTTTGTTGGAGAATTTATCAACCAGCGGCATTAAATCATGTCTCTTCAGCCGGTATATAGACAGAGGGATGCCCAAGTACAGCACGGGAAAATGTTGGTAACTGCACTGAAAATTTTCTACAACTCTCTGAACCACCTCCTCGTCGCATCTGATGCAAGTTACCGTGCTTTTGATCATGTTGATCCTGAGTCCCGACACCTCGCCGAACAGCTTCAGAATGGCCGCAATGATCTGAAGGTCGTTTTCCATCGGCGAGAAGAACAATACCGCATCGTCCGCGAACATCGATGCCCTGGGTACCCTCATGCCAATACCGAAATCAGCTAGCAAGCTATTTTGCACCGCCCATTCCAGCATGCCATGGACGGCGTCCATAGCCAGAATGAAGAGCGCTGGTGATATGGGGTCACCCTGTCTGACTCCTTGGCCAAGGGCAAAAGAAAAGCTCAGTTCTCCGTTGATGAGTACTGATGACGAGGTAGTGGAGAGCAGCCCACATATCCAAGAGCACCACTTCCTACCGAATCCTCTGGTGACAAGGATTTCCAGGAGGAACTCCCAAGAAAGGGTGTCAAAGGCTTTGGAGGTGTCAATCTTCATAAGAACCGAGGGCTTCCGTTTGCGATGCAGCAGGCGAGCAAGGTTCCTTACAAACATGAAGTTTTCATGGATGTTGCGCCGGGAAATGAAAGCACTTTGGGCCTGCGAGATGAGTGTGGGCAGGAGCGGAGCCAGACGGCAAGCAAGCACTTTAGCGAAAATCTTGGCCGCACCATGGATAAGGTTGATAGGTCTGAAGTCGCCGATCTCCAGAGAGTTTGATTTCTTGGGCAGGAGAGTGAGGATTGAAGTGTTGAGGCCTCCAAAAGAATAAAAATGACCCTCATGCAGAGCCTTCATCACAGCCATTAGATCCGAAGCAATGATATCCCAGCACTTTTTATAAAACTGTCCGGAGAAGCCATCCGGACCTGGTGCCCTGTCGGAGGGCATGTCCATAATCACCTTTTTGACCTCATCCACGGTGAAATCCGATTCGAGACCATGCGCCAACTCTGGCGACAGCTTGCGCAGATTCAGAGACTCCCACCGCAAGGAACTCCTATTACTGGCCGACTCCGGGGTGCCCATTAGCTTGCTGAAGAATTCTCCCGCCAAGTTTAGTTTGTCTTCCATAGCTGTGGCAATTCGGTCGCCCTGTTTGAGGTAGGGTATTAAATGCTTACGACGGCGCCCGTTTGCTTTCATGTGGAAGTATTTGGTGTCTGCATCACCTTCCTTGAGATCTCGCACCTTCGCTCGTTGACGTACACGAACACGTTCAAGCGAGGCAAAGGCCAGGCACTTGCCCTTCAAGAAGGCGCGGAGATTTCTTTCCTTCGTAGATAGATGCCTCCTCTCCTGCGCACAATCTAAACACCAGATCACTTCATTGGCCATTTGGAACTGCATACTGAGCTCGCTCCATCTTCTCTGGCCCCAACTTCTCAAAGCTTTGGCTGTGTGATGCAACTTGACATTGAAGATTTTCAGGGGATCGTTGCCCTCAACATCTTCCATCCAAGCCGCCTTGACAGTGTCCGTGAATCCTGGTAGCTTGCACCAGAAATTCTCAAAGCGGAAGCGGTAGGCGCGAGGTCTAGCGGAAGAGCAAGTGAGAAGCAGAGGACAGTGGTCAGATATGCTGGAGCTAAGAGACAACAGATCGCTGATGGGATACAAGTCCTCCCAGTCGTTGTTGAATAACACTCTGTCCAGTCTAGCAAGGATCGCTTGCTCCTGATTATTACACCAAGTGTAGCGCCTCCCAATCATGGGCATGTCATGAAGACCCAATCTGTTGATGGTATGTCGGAATTTATTCATAAGCCTTCTGTTAACTCTCCTGGAGCTGCGCTCATCTTTGTTGCATACAATGTTAAAGTCGCCATTTAGGATCCATGGCAAACACACCTGCTCCCCGAACTGCACAATAGCCTCAAGGAATCTGACCTTGTGTTCCTCCTCCTGTGGTCCATAAACAGAGGAAACCATCCACTCCTTGCCATCGGCCAAGGACAGAATTTGTGCAGAGATCATGAATTCATCTGAATGTGCAGAGATCATGAATTCATATCGCTTTATTTCTTGACATGTCTGAATGTGCCGAATTCATTTGTGTTGCTGTTTGGATGCTGTAGAGAGACACACAAAAATGCTCGATTCAGGGCTTCAGACCCTAATTGCAAGAGAAACGGAGGTTTGAGCCTACGCATGCTATTGCTTCAACATGACTTTTGTAGGTGATGTCTTTTGTTTCTTTTTTGATAAATTGGTTGTGTATAATCTTGATGTCCATGGCTGTGTGCATCATGATGATGCAGAGGCCGGGGGTTTTATTCCTTTTCGGGAAAGTAATAATCTTGATGTCCGGACTAGCTTTTGATGTTGTTTTGTTGGTCGGTATCAGCTTGAAATAAGATAATGCCTTTTTATTGAAAAAAACTTGGTTTTCTTAATGCACATACCAGTTTTCTTTAGCATGATATCAGGTGGTTGTTTTTTAGGCAATCTCGCAAAACTTTATTAACTCATCATAACGTTTATACAGACGAAATAGAGATTGCCGGGCTGGCCTAACCAAACATGGCAGCCAGCCCCTAAAGTAAGAGCATGCTTCGCTAAATTGTGTGCCTCAACATTCGAGGACCCATACTCATGAACAAAATTGCAAACAACAAAAGAACTAGAATGATGAATAATTTCTTGAATAATAGCCCCATAGTTTGCGACACTCCCTTCTTTGATCTCGGTCACTACTACCTTGCTGTTCGAGGCCACCTGTATCCTCTGT